AAGAAGGAGGAGAATACAGGGTCGCAAATCACAGGGTTGATAGATCAGGTCCCGATGGAAAGAGGGAACTTGATGCACTTATTCAGGAGGCTGCAGCACTCGGAATAAAGATGCCCAAAGTGAAGGACCTTGCTCCTGACCCACAACAATTTCAAAAGGTTGGATATCGGCAGATTGAGGTGGCTTGCGATAGAGGAAACATCGAGATAATTCCACAGTATGGAGTTACATTCTATGTGGAGTACTGGAATGGACCGAAGAGAGATGCAACTTTCACGGATCCACCAAAGATGAACCCAGCAATTCGCATCGACAAGCTCAGCGAGGAGAGTCAGTGGGTCAACGAGATTAGCCATAGACTCAATAGACTACTCAGGCATGGAGTGGGAAAGCATAATGGGATTCAATCGCACCGCGGTCGAAAACCTCATGTATCCCCGAAGTGCAATGAGGGTGGATGGGTGAACATCGATGAGATCCTGGAATATGATCATGTCTTCAACGATGGTGTCAATATCAGTACTATCTCAGGTACTCAACGTGAGCAAGATACCAAGACAGAGCGATACCAGTATTTATGCAAGGCGATGTGGCATGCAAAGAAGTTGCAGAACAGAGTACGCTATCAGATTGCCGCCATTCGCATCTCAAAGGAGGATGTCTCACTCGAAGAGGAAAGGCAATACTGGGCAAACCTCATGTTTTACGGCACAGACGCACCGTCATTTCTGAAGCATGAACGTTGGATCGTTCCTTGTGCAATTCGAGCTGTTGCCTCTCACAATTCTGGAAGAGAGACTGTTCTTGAAGAGGATGTGTCAATATATCCTGTGTGGACTTCGCATCTCATCCCAGAGAATGTGGCAACGCAGCTTGGAGGAAGCTTTCACATGACATCGCTTTCCAATATTGAGTCAATCATGAAACTAGGAATTGTCCCTGGTGGAACGGATGGATATAGAGGTAGTGTTTTCTTCAACCACTTTGCGCCGTGGGATGATCGATCATCGAAGATTCTGAGATCAAGATGGCCAAGAGTGGGAATGCCCGTTTGCCTTTATGTTCCAATCATGACTTTGAGGAAGCTTGGGAGAAGAATTTCGGAGAATTCCTACACTGTTGTTTTTAGAGAAGTTCCATGGAGATGTGTACGAGGTGCTTGGTATTGGGACGACCATGTTCAGGCATGGAGGAGACTCCTGCTGGGAAGCACCGGAGAGCAAGTTGTTCTAGCGGCGCGTCATGGACTTTGGGTTGCTCAGAAGCATACCATCCTCGAGAGAGCCGACGAAGTCACGAAGTCAGCCTCGGCGACAGATGACAACGTCCAAAAGCTCGTGTCCCTTATCGATGAAGTAAAATTCGATGACAATGGAGAGCTGATCGAGGATTCCATCAGTGAGGAAACTTGGGACGAAATCATCTCCAGAACATGTGAAGGATATCGCAACGTGGATGGCAATATTTTGTGTCCATCATGTATGCATTTGACTTCTTCATCTTTGTCCGTGTGTCTATCTTGTCAAGGCAGGCTACTCTCGTGTGGTATTCGCAACACTGTCATTTCCGATTCACCCGTTGATCTTGTGACCGACGATGAAGAGGAAAAGAAGGAAGAGAAGGAGCCTGAAGATGATTTTCAAGATACTTTGGACCAGGCCACTATGGACGAGATCAGAAAGGCTTGGGAAGAAGACATCGCTCAAACTGAAGCAGCTGACGACGACGAGGACATGGACAATCTAGATCCTTCCAAACCGTCTGATGGTGCAGAAAACTTCAAGAGTGACAATGTCGAGACCCCATCTTTCAATGAGGACGAGATCGACTACGGTCGTGATTCTGATCTAGAAGATGAAGACGAACGAAACGTGATCATCGAGATCCAGAGGAGCACACAACAATATGAGGGGAAGAAACGTCAAGATGGTGAGCCCGAGGATGAAGACGTCACCGACGACTTACATCCGGAGGCGAATCGACCGACAGATCGTGATGAACCGGGATACTATGCACAGCATGGAGCGACCGAGTTCAATCCCGAAGAAGGAAAAGACAACGAAGATCTCCCCATCTATTGTCGAGTACCGGAACCTCGAATCTATGCGCATCAAGAGAGAGCCTACTGTCAGGACGTCTCCGTGAAAGCATCGGGTTTGATGGATAGGTATGTGGTCAAATGTGTGCTGAGCATGATCTCCCTGATGTACAAGAGCTACTATTGCACCAGCCTTACCGACTTCAAAGCAAATTGGAAAAGGAAGCGTCTGGATGTGATAAGCAAGTTCGGTACAGGAGATTCCACTGAAATCGATGACGATGGGAGACCATTGGATCCAACAGATGAGATGATGTTAATCTTTGCCAACGACAACAATATTACAACTGAGGAGGCCTGGCACCGATTCAGAGGAGAGCAATTCATTTGCAAGGTGGCACTCATGATCCTATCATTTGGTCATACTCCGCAATCCTTCAAGGAGGAATATGGCAACTTCGAACACTCCACCAACTTGACTGATGCCCAGCTTGAGGAGTTGAAAGCGAAGAAAGCCAGCGCAATGACTGAATTGGTACAGAAGTGCATCCATGCGATTTATGGTTGTCGGACATATTCTTACTTTAGAACCGACGTTACATCACCCAACCACAAGGTGATCGATCCTCTGGACATCATGTACTCGAGAATGAAGAGCAAATGGGAGAAGTCTATTCTGTTGATCATTGATCAACATGAGATCAGGTTGCCCCCACAAGCTCAGGAAGTCATAGAGTCAATGGCCAGAAACCCCAACGTTGGACATACAGAGAGATGGATGAGCGTGGTAGAACATAAGCATGTTCAAGCTCTTACCAATCGTCTAGGCTTTGGAGATAGGGCCAAGGAGATTCAGGGCAAGAAGAAGCAGGCAGCCAAGGCAACAGCTAAGTCAACATCAACGACTAAGTCTGAAGCGAAAGCAGCATCTTCGTCAAGAGCTGAGGCAAAGCCAGCATCTACACCCAGAACCGAGGCCAAGCCGTCGTCAGCACCAAGTGAGGAGTCAAAACCTTCAACAGCACCTAAGAGTTTCGGGCCCTCATCAACAGAGGAGAACAAGGTGAAGGCTGCTCCAAAAGCCAGACCACATGATAAATCACCATCCAATGCTACCGATGTGTTTGAGCAAGCTTTGCAGGAAGATCTTGCCGCCAACGCACATGCAGCAGAAGGTACAACTTCTTCATCATCCCGAGGACATTCCAAAGGAGGAGGCCAATCTGGAACATCTTGGAGGCCGGCGCTAACGCAAGAACGTCGCGAAGTACCTCAACCTTCTGAAAAGGGGAAGGGAAAGAGCAAGTCCAAGGGAAAGTCCAAGAAGGGAGAAGATGATCGGTGGGATGCTCAGGGCAGCTGGGATCATCGTGGATGGAGAGGTTATCACCAGTGGTGATTTCTTTGAACGACTATGAGGATACCATGCAAACCAGGGAGGAAATCATTCACCGGATGTTTATCTGACCTGAAACGCTGTAAGTGTATCATTGCAAATCATCGGATTAACGATTTGATACCATGAGCATAATGGAAGGCAGACAGTCACCGACTGTCTCTCCGACTTGCCGTTCTGTAAGTGTATCCAAATCAAAATCTACATCTTTTGAGAAGTGTGAAGTCAGTTGCCGATGTGACATCTACGTGGAAGTCACCAGTTCGGATCTACATCAAAGCGATGCTCTTTTGAGTGGATACTGAGCGAGGCCTCGTGACTGTCTCACTTGTTCAATTCGATTTTTTTTTCAAAGGTTCTGAGCCATAGTTGCACACTTTATATGTAAAAGTCCGCTTTAGTCCAGCATGTTTCGTAGTATGAGCCTCATATGAGTCTCGCGGCAAATCATACAATTTCTTTGTAGCACTTACATCCCTAAATTTTCGTGTGTGATCGGAACATATTGTTGCCGTTCACAGGGGGGGTGCGAATGGAAGTGCAGCGACACGTACAGTGCAACTTGTACATATATATATACCATATGTACTTTGGCTCAAGGATCAAGCGACTAGAAAAGGTGCGGTTTCCGTTCCGACGCTACGCCGCTTATGGACCGTCAGTGATAGCTTCAAACTTCGCTGATTAAGATCCACTCGCAATTATATATATATATATATCATTTGAAATAATGATTTATGATCAGGATAATATATGTATAATATATCATGGATTGATTGCGTTCAAAAGTTGTTACTGAAAAAGATGACCGAGTTACATGTTTAATGACCAGACTGCGGTGATTCGGCAAGGCAGCGCTAGGTCGGGGCTGGGTTTTCTATAGTATGACCACGGTTTGTTGGTAGGCATGTGTGTGTTGCAAAGAGATGTGATCGATTGCGTGCAGCTTCAGGGCTTCCAGCTCCTCGGTTGCTCGCTCCCTCACTCGCTCCCTCACTCGCCCACTCACCCACTCACTCACTCACCAGTGATTGTTTGCGCTAGCTGCTAGCTGCTCGCCAGCTCCGCGCCACTGTTCTAGACGATGGTCCGAAGCTCTGGGTCCAATGGCTGGTTAAACAGAAGTGTCGCCTCAAGCCAATAGCAGCAAGAGTCCAACAGCTCTTGAAAAGCGCTAGATACGTTACGCAGTTTTTGAAGAATTGAACCTGCACGTCGACGCGTAGAATGCACGTGTTTTAACTTTATGGTTCAAGTTCGAAACATTTACTGTAGTTCAGGATATTTAGAAGCGGCCCCGCACCAGGATTGCAAAAACATTTTTTTTGAAAAGATGCCAGCCGTCCATACATACATATATATATATATAACGTGATCAATCTTCACTAACAACATTTCTATCTCCGCAAGTACAAAGTCATTGATTTTGCTGTAGCTAGCCACTGCGCCCAGAGCACATTATATCAACACATTTACGGCACCACATATATTTCACTATGCCTCTCTGTTTCTGCATGTTTCTGCCTATTTTGCACATCGTGCACTGTACAATCTGATGATTCTCAGGACGTCGTGGCCAGCGCATCTAAACAGCTGGAGGCCCAAGGGCTGGTTTGTTTCAGAGAGCATCAGATTGGCCCGTTGACATTGAAAATCTAGTCACGTGACTCTTTCAGACAAACAGGAGCGGTATGCTGATGCTCGCACCATGTCACTTACAGGCGTGCAAGAATGCATCAGCCCCTGGAGAACATGCATGTATATTATGATTAGTGATATGCCTCTTTGTTTTCAGTGTCCAGTGTATGGGGCCACGGGCAGAGCAAAACTACCATGCACACATGTTCATTCCATTTTTTTTCGTAGAATCTTGCAAGTCAAATATGCTATCATTGATTCTGCCATGAATCATGAATTTAACACATCGGTAGCTCCCTGCAAAACCACACTGCCTTGTTCAATTAATACGCCTTATGACCCTGAGGGTCCGGCTATTCTCTAGTAAACTGTGCACCGCTTGCACTTATATCAATTATATACAGAATACGGTTCATGTTTTTTTGGCGCAGGAACTTTGTTGAGACTAGACTTGATTGTACATCCAGACATTGCTGTCCCCTGGATCCCCGGAGAACGCCGCACACGCTGCTTACATGCCATCGGAGTGAACCCGCATACCCTCAATGAAAAGCTGCAACAGCCATGATTAAGGACAACTTGTATGCTAACTACATACTACTTTCTACATCCACTTATATATATATACTATCTACATAGCTTTTGTTTCCTCTTACTTACCCACGTATTTTCCTACATACCTACCTGCCTCGCTACCTGCCTACCTGCCTACCTGCGACTACCACTATCTAAGCTACTACCAATACTACCAATACTACCACTATCACTATCAGTATCACTATCACTATCAGTACCACCACCACCGCCGCCACCACCACCACCACCACTAGCACCAGACGGTAGGTTGCAACGAAACTAGGCAAATGTTTGTTCATGCGTTCATGGAAAACCGCAATGTCCAAGGAAAGCAACAATGGTGCACTTTAAATAACGTGAGTCTACGTGATCGGTGAGACATACCCCGACCAGTGCCCACACGGCAATCTCCCATAGCCAGATGGACCTGCAACTCTACAGGTTTACTATATAAGATATATGATTGCTGTATTATAAGTTCTATACGTTCAGTTCTATTTAATAGTTCTTTGGAATTGCAAAAAGAAAAAAGACCGTCGCGTCGATTTCGATTGATTCTGAAGAGTCGAAATGGGAGCAACACCTGTCTTGAATCACAGGAGCTCCGTGCCTGTTGCAGCGCTGCAGAGACAGCTCAAGCTCAGCTAACCAAAGTGTCGCAGGATTCCGTTTTGAGAGGTTGAAAAAGAAATAGCCAAGAACAGGCAGCTGCAGCTGTCCAGAACAAATCCACTGTTCAGACCAAGAGCTGCCCAGCTTCAAGGCATACTATTCATAGTACACCCTGTAACTTGTTGACGCCCATGTTTGCCATTCTTTAAATTTAAGATTGTGTGCCTTCCTTTCACCCAGTCTTGTCAGTATTAACAATCTTAGCACTTGTTGGCCCCGCTTGTGCCAGCGGCGTTGTTTGCGACTCCAGAGGAAATTGCGTTTTTGTTCGGCTTGGATGACATTAAGTAGGTATGCATGCGGGTTGATGTTTGATGTGTTTGGTGGGGGTTGGGGTTGGGGGCTAATGACGTTGGTTTGGATGTGCTTCGAAGATGATGTCACATGCACAGACGCTTTGGAAGACGGGGGTGCGGGGGCTGGGTAATTAGGGGGCCAATGACGTTAGTTTGGATGTGCTTCGAAGATGATGTCACATGCGCAGACGCTTTGGACGATGGGGGTGCGGGGGTCGGGGGTTGAGTAGGGGGCTAATGACGTTGGCTCGGATGTTCTTAGATGATGTCACATGCCTTCAAGGACCCATAGCAAGAAGGGTGCAAAGAACACGCCTGCAACATCGACAGGCTGATGCTGTATGTGAAGTCCTGGATGTTCGCAACAATGCCGACCAAAGATCGGTGGCAGGCGACGCGCCACTGAGAAAAATTTGCTTGGTATGGGAGCCGCCCACCGCATGTATGTCAGAGTGAGAAGCACGAAGAGTTGTTTCAGCAGAACGACATTGTGCAAAAAACGTTGTGACCGCCACGTAGAAGCAACACCATGAACACGCAGGCTGACTTGGAACGGCAATCGCAAGACGTGACTTTTTATTTTAACAAACACGAGACCAGTACAAAGCAACAATGGTGCTATCCCACCAGGAAACCCAAAATTCAACACAGAACCTGACCAGAGAGGATGAAAAGAAACCTGAGGTCTTGTAAAATACAGTATATATGTTAAGAACACATCGTTGTTGACACCAAAGATGAAATCGGAAAAAAACATGCATTACCAACATTCTTCAACCAAAACATACCAAAACCATCCTTGGCACAGTCGCCAAAAACTCCAGGGTCACTATATACGCCGTGGCGGCTGTGGCCTTGTTTGTGTGACCAGACTCTGTTTTCAGAATTTGCACTTACCGGAGGAGCTAGCTGAGTGCAGAGCGAACGCGGATCAGTTGCGTGCTGCTGAAGCAATGCGCCTGGCAGAGATGTCCCAGATTGCTAAGGCTACTGGTGGGTCTGCGTTCTGAAGGAAGCATAGTTAGAGATAACATGATACAATATCGTCGTCAGGATTAGTCAGGTATGTTTCTTTTGGGGGTGCTAAACGTTTGATGAAGGAAGTGCAGTGCAAAACTAACATTGAAGAGTTCGGTTTGGATTGAAGTTCCCATCAAAGTGGGTTTCCCCGTGCTATCAGGATGACAACGCACCATTGATTTGCAAATGTGATTTCTTCACACTACGCGCCATGTCTTCTTGGTCTGGAGGCTCGTGGCATAATGTCTTAATTACTACTACTGAAATTATACACCGGTGACAACTAACATTTTCGCAAAAACCAATGTTTTTTGGCATTTGTTAGTCTAGTTTCCGAGCGGACACCGTTGAGACTAACCTAGACCAAATTCAGATGTGCCATGGTGGGCCCCACGGGTACTTGGCATGGTCCATGTTAGCCTCCACCGGGCTATGTTGACCTGTAAGGCGCGGTCTATGTTAGCCTGCGTTCAGTTTCTTGTCAGATTTGCAGTTGGTCCATGTTAGTATCAAAATCGATCATGTAGATTGAGAGTGGGAAGGGTCCATGTTAGCCACACGCCTGACTCAGGTTTGTGGTAATTTTGTGTCAGTGTGGAGCAGCGACTGAGAGTGGTCTATGTTAGCCACATGCCTCATTCGATGTCTGGAAAACTTAGTGTCAGGTTGGACCGTGGACTGAGAGTAGCGAGAGTGGGAATGGTCCATGTTAGCCACAAGCCGCAAGCCTAACTCCGGCTTGTGGAAAAATCCCAAATTTTAGGAAATGTCTTCAAACATCAATGGAAGACAGGAAAGGAAGGAATTGGAGCAGGAACATAATTAAGAATCAAAAATTAACTAGCTACTTGTTACACTTTTTCTCCTCTCCCCCTGTCTCTGTGTCTATTCCCTTAACGGGGAGACACAGGGAAAGAGGGAACCCTGTCTCTGTGTCTACGACCTTCCGAGTTCCCTGTGTCTCCCCGTTAAGGGAATAGACACAGAGACAGGGGGAGAGGAGAAAACGTGTATTCTTAGTTATTTTCCTGCTCTAATTCCTTCATTTCCTGTCTTCCATTGATGTTTGGAGTCTTGTGAAGCAATCTGTGAAAAATGAAAAATTTCAAAAAAGAACACGTTGAAAAACCAATGATGCACCAGGTAGGCCCTACAGGTATGTGGCACGGTCCATGTTAGCCTCCGCCGGGCTATAGATGATAAAAGAGCTGTCTAGTTTGGCACCTGTCTCTCCCCATGAAATTTGTGATGACATCTGTCTCCCCACTGAGGCCTACTTGCGATGGCCTCCAACCAACTTGCAATGGCCTCCAACCTACTAGCAATGGACCCTTCTTTTGCGTTCTAACTTAGACCAAGGTCAGATAGTTAGGCCCTATTGGTGTTTGGCATGGTCTATGTTGGCCTCCACCGTGCTGAAAGAGCTGTCTAGTTTTGCACCTGCAGTACCTCGGTTGAGACTAACGTAGACCGTAGACCATGTTCAGGAGGCCGCTAAAGGTATGTGACATGGTCCATGTTAGCCTCCACCAGGCCATGTTGATCTCTATCGGCGCGGTCTATGTTAGCCTGCGTTCAGTTTATAGTCAGATTGCAGTTGGTCCATGTTGGTGTCAAAATCGATCATAGACTGAGAGTGGGAACGGTCCATGTTAGTGAATGCTAATACCGTTTCCCCAGGAAGTCACCGTTTCCAGTCGTCCATGTTAAAGCGCACGTGAATTTGAGTTCTGGTCTATGTTGTTTTTCCCCGGAGAACTATTTGGATCTAGTTGGAATGAAAGGAGAACTGATGAACGTGGATCGTAATCGAAACTTCCGGTGATGCCAGGAGCGTGACGAGTACTGCGCGCAAGCAGATGAACTGCGCGCATCTGCTGACACGCACCTTCTGCGGATATCCACGAAATCCCAGGTCCCGAAGTACCCTATCCCTGCAGATCCATTCAGGGGTTGAGCCAAGCCTGAGGCTTTTAGATACAGATAAAGTATGAGAACGTCTTTCTTTCACCCAGTCTGATCAGTAGTAAATTTCTTAGGGTTTGTTGGCCTTGTTTGTGGGACCAGATTAGGTTTTCAGAATTTTCTCTTACCGGAGGAACTAGCTGAGTGCAGAGCGGACACGGATCAGTTGCGTGCTGCTGAAGCAATGCGCCTGGCAGAGATGTCC